TAATTTTTAATTAAATTTTGATATTTTTATTAAAATAAATATCTTTATGAACCCGATGATTTTGCTAATGTAATTTTCCTTTTTTATCAGAGTTAAGATGTGTACGTGTTTGAACCGAACCTCTAGATATAATGGTTCAACCCCAAGTCTTAAGTGCTTTGGTAAGGTGGTAGAAATTTCGAGTTCTACTACCGTCATGAACTCCACCAAAAACGGTCTAATGGCTACACACCTCATTTGAGGGGGTGGAATGTTCACCAGGTTTGGGAATCGAATCCCAAGTTGCTAACAACTAATTCATACTAACTTGCTAACCATTATCTTTATCAAAAAAAAAATATATGTATATATGTTTGTGTTTACATCTGACCCTTCGAGTTAACTGGCAACCTGCCAGCTTGAGATGCATTTCCCTTCTTCCATGGACAGGCTTCGAGCTCGTCCCTTGACAACTTGTTCAAAAAAAAAATATGTTCATGTTTTGCACTTGGCCTTTTGGGTCAATTGGCAACCTGTCAGTTTGAGTTGCATCCTCCTTTACATGGGTAGGCTTCGAGCCCGTCCCTCGAAAACTTGTTCAAAATAGATATGTTCGTGTTTTGTTCCACACGTCATGGGTGAGTGGTTATCTGCTTTACTTTAGTGGGACATACTTCGGGTTGAAGTTTGAGTCCTTGGGATCTCCATTCTTTGTTGTTAATATGATAGATTAGATTGTAATTTATTTTTAAAAATATGTTTATATTTTATTTATATAAATAAAATTAATATTAATATTAATAATTTATTAATTCAATTGAAAAAAACTCGATTCTCTTTAAGTAAAATTTTGAATGAATTCTAGCTCTTCCAGAGTGGTATCTCACTGATGGCTCGGGCCCCCCCAGAAGGAGGCAAGAATCGCAGGAATATTTAAATAGGTTTGGTTATTTATCGGATCATAAAAACCTACTTGCCGCTTTTATTCGGGCATGGGTTCAAGGGTGATTTTTTTTTTCTGCAATAGCTATAACAAAAATTGAAAAAATATCTCCTTTTAATTGGCGATTATTAGAATGTACTATTTGTGTTCGAAACGGCGTTAATAAAAAATCAACGGGCATTTCCAGATATATCGCTCAGTTCATAATGACAATATTTCGACCTTTTTTAATTTCGTAGATTATTCTCATTATGCACATAAAGGGAGACTCTCGAACGAGGATAAAGGCCCCAATGACTTCGAAAGAATTACCATGACAAGTATTTGTGAAATAAGAAAGAACTCCAATGGGAAGAAAAAATTTAATAATCGTGAGAAGAAAGAGAATACGTCTTTAGGAAAACATTGCTACTTTTTGGGCCGGTTGTGGGCGAGGAGGGATTCGAACTAACTACATTTTCTAAACGAACCAAAGCCAATCCAAATTGATCTTGTAAGAGGTCCGCTTATATAAATAAAGTATAATTAGGTGTTAAATTTGTTATAAAAAATTAAATTACTCATATTACCCAATTTAAAGATTCATTTATTTTAACCAGAGT